GGACTGGATGGCCCTTGTGATCTCTTCCAACTCTATGATTCTATTATTTCGCATGTAGACACCTTTCAAGGCATTGCTCTCACCCTGAGATACCTCCCCTTGAGGACTGGAGGACAGATACCCAGCCCTGAAAGACTCAAGGCCAATCCTGGAGACATGTCAACTCTGGGAGCTTCCAAGTCCCCAGATTTCAGGGCGAAAACCTTAGACCTATGGGTGTCTCTTGGTAATATCTTGAAAGGGGTGGCCCTGATTATGTTATTAAGTAGGAGGCATTCAACATCCTCTATAGTTACACAGAGCAAGCCATTTGTACAATAAAACCAAGTGTAATATTCTGGGCCCTTGGTATCTGCTGGGCTTTGCTTCCTGGACCCCTCCTGTATATCAAAATCTGTGGATGCTCCAGTCCCATTAAACACAATGGCATAGTAAAATGGTCTCCCTTCTATAAAATGGCAAAATCAGGGTTTGCTTTTTGGAATTGATTTTTTGGGAATATATATCTCTGGACGGAAATTCAGGTTCTGTTGAAATTAGGCATTGCACGGAAACGCACACAGTAACAAGCTTTTCCAAGCTCTTTTTAACACCATTGCAGGCAGTGCTTTGAAGAACACATGGAAGTTGTGTTGTTGTGTGTCTTCAAGTCATTTCCAACTTATGGTGACCCTAAGGCCATATAATAGGGTTTTCTGAAGCCGGGACTGTGTGACTTGTCCAAGGTCATCCAGTAATTTCCATGGCCGAATGAGGATTTGAACTCTGGTCTCCAGAGTCACAGTCCAATGCTCAAACCAGTATGCCAGTGATTCTCAAACTCTGGCCTTCCAGATATTTTGGACTTCAGTTCCCAGAAGCCTCAGCTATCTTGGCCAATGGTTTGGGATTCTGGGAACCAAAGTCCAACACACCTGGATGGCCAGAGTTTGGGAATCATTACAGTATGCCATGGAAGCTGTAGTTCCGTTTCTACTCGGAACAGGAAACAGTTAGCAATACCCGTGGAGCCTTGGCAGTCTGCAAAGGCCCATAGATATCTATTTGCAAGTCAGCATTCTCGCCCTGAGTTTCCTCCTTCTTGTTGTGACAACTAGAGAAAGTCGGTATCCCATTCTATGAGAAAGGCAGAATAGAAACCCATAAATAAATAAATAAATAAGTGCCTTGTAGGGGAAGCCCACAACAATAGGGTAGCCTCTGCCAATGTGGGGAGTCCTCCAGATGTGTTGAACTACAATTCCCATTATCCCCAGCCAGCACAGATTATGAAAGCCACATAACAAGGAGCAAAGCTAAGCATGTGTTCTTAACCTGCCATCTGTCCTGACCATAAATTCCTTCCATAATTCTCTGATTCTATGATTCTTATATACACAGCCTGCTTAATACAATTTTTTCCTTTTTGGAAATTTCCTCTTGGTTCTCTTCCACTGGGATTTTTTAAAAAGACAATTTTCTCTTCCGTTCCAGTTTTTAGGTCATTTGACTTGGGTGAACACCTCCTTGAACCCCTCTAGCCGTGATGAACTGTTGCAGCTCCTGGATACTGCAAGGGTAACTACACAGCGGTGCCCTTCAATACACTTTGGTGTCATTCAATTAACAGTAATGTACTTGTAATGAATGCGATCAGAGAACATACAGATGTGGGACTGATAAGTTGTAAATGAACAGACTTCGATGAATTCCCAACATATACTATAGTGTAGAGAAACCAGTCAGATTGTTCTTCTTTTTTATCATGTTAAAATAATTTTACAGGTTGAATCTCCCCTATCTGGACTTCCAAAATCCAAGGCCTCATTCCCACTTACAAATGAATGGGTTTGCAATCTGAATTGATGGAACGGTTCGACAGCGGAGCGTGGTTCACGCTACATGTGCCCCGATCGCATTTTCTTGCTGTAAAATAACCCACTTGTGGTTCATATTGACGAATGAATCGATTCAAAATGGACCCGCTTCAGCCGGCCAAAGGGCAAATTTAAATCAATTCCGATCCACATCTGGTTCACACTTGTGCGGAATCGATTGATCAAAAAAGACGCAAGAAAAAAAACAGCATCAAAAAGATGCACGTTAAATGGGTCTAGCGCATGGGCCCCCTCTCCAAACCGCTTCCGCGATTCGGTTCAAGTGCGAACCATGGTAATTTAAAGTGCTTCAAACCAGTTTGCAAACCAGTTTAAAACATAATGGGAATGAGGCCCAAAATTCTCCAAAATCCAAAACTTTTTTCATGGATGGCTGAGGTAGTAACACCTTTGCTTTCTGATGGTCCGATGTAAACAGACTTTGTTTTCTTCACAAAATGATTAAAAAATACTGAATCAAATTACCTTCAGGCTATATGTATAATAAGGTGTATATGGAACATAAATGAATTTTGTGTTTAGACTTGGGTCCCATCTCCAGCATATCTGGTATTTCAAAACCCCAAAAAATCTGCAATCCAAAACACTTCTGGTCCCAATCATTTTGGATAAGGGAGACTCAATCTGTATCTGTAATTAATTAATTAGGTTGCTACCTGCAATTGCAGCCTTTGGGGAGGGCCATGGGGTGGGAAACGGTCATAGCCCTTCCACAGTTGCCCACCCCTGCTTTAAATTTTGCATTGAACCGGACTCTCATTTCCAGCATGGGAAGTGATTGTATGGAATTGAACTGTGCTTTGCAGCCTGGGATGCAGTGCTTTGCATACCTAAAAGTTGTAGCTACACATAAGTGTACTATGCGAATTGCTGTGGATTTTCACACATTTGCATCAACGTTTAATTGCCTTCACTTCTCTGTACAAATTCGCATCTATAGTTGGCCCTCCACATTTGCAGCTTTGATTTTTGCGGATTTGATTATTCATGGATTTGATTAATATGTTCTCTCTAGGAATCTCTAGGTCCTCCAGCACAACTCTGCCGGAAGTTGACCATAGAGT